AGCTGTTGTGCTTCTTCTTCGTCTAGGGAGCTTCCCTCCTTTGCTGATCGGACACATCATCTGCAGTGGGCATCGCGGTTGAACTGCTGAGTGACTGTTTGGGGATACAAGGGTTGGTGGCGATTAGTGGGCTTGATAGGTTGGGCGCAGGCCTGYGCCATAGCTGTGAGYTCGAAGGTGTGGGAGGAAGAAGAAGTCTCCCTCGATGAAACTCTGTAAATAATTTGTTCATAGATGTTGTTAACGTGGTTGGGATTCTTGGAGTTGTGCTGTTGATTGAACTGGGAGAGACGGTAAATTAGAATTGATTTCGTTTCAATTCTAATCTTGGTATTTGTGTGCTTCCGCTGTGCAATTTCATCATCCGGTTTGGTGTGGATTTTCTCTCTCCAAGTCTACTTGCAATTTCGCATGTGTATGGGAACATGTGTATGCTATGCTGGATTCGTTTTCAATCAGGCACATAACACAGGGTTCCACTAGCACACAAGTCATGGCCTGTTATGACCTGTGCGGCACTGTAAGAAAAGGAAGGAAATTAATTTTAAAAACTTCGAAAAAAAAATGGCGAGGTCACATTTCCCAAGACAGGAAGGAGGCCGACTTTTGAAACTGCTGCCGTCCCACTAACCCTCCCGTCTCCTCCCCCTGCTCCCCACCCAGCCAATTCCTAATCAGGATAGAGTGGTACGTGACTGTTGCTGTCTCGCGTACCACCACAAGGGAGTCCCTTGGTGTGCCTGATGGGACTCCCTTCTCTGACGGTTGCCATGCTGAAGCGTGCAGTTCGTATATTTTGAGAGAAAAACCAAGTACAGGATGGGGTTGCAATTGACCGGGAAAAAGAAGGCGGTCAAAACCATGCCCTTCGAGTAACTTGATTTTTTTTAATCTTTTGAAGAGCTGCCAATCAAAAGAAGTCTTTCTATTTTCTTTTCCCACCTCCCATTCTTGGGAACTGAAAAGGAAAAGCACAAAACAAAAAAAAAAAAAAAAAAAACTTCAGAATAAAAATCCATCGCAATTTCACTGCCATCAAATTCTCCTGCATCAGTGGTCAGACAATGTCCCACAGATGTCCCACAGGTGTTTGTGGGATACACTTTACCGTACTCATGTGCTAGTGGAACCGTGCCCCTGTAGATGCAAATGCGGACCCAAAAAAAAAATGGAACAAAAAAAAGTCTGAAAAAAAATATATATTTTGTGTAGAAAATTAAACTGTACAACATTTTACCATGGTTGCCCTGGACCCGGACATCCAGACACCGGACACCGGACACCGGACACCGGACACCAGGCCCGGACCCGTGTCTGGATTAATGCGGACATCCGGTAAACCGGACATCGATCCGGACAACCGGACATATGGACCCGGACGGTCCGGTTATGAAAGAACAGGTCCGAATGTCCGGATTAAAAAAAAAAAAAAAAAACGCTAGTGTAGTTGTGTTATCCGACTTATCTTGAACACACTCACATACACATACAGTGCCGTGCACACACACAACTGCAAGAACGATGGAAGGGATACCCCAAGGACAACCAAAAACTGTCTAATTATAAAATTGCCTTAATATGTTGGACTGTGACTGTCTCATCTTAAATGCTCTCGTTGTCTGCAATATGACAAAGACTTCTTTAATTCTGAATCTATTCATCTGGGTGAAATTAGGGCTGTTGAGGGGAAAATCTATAACACACACGCACACACAGACACACACACACACACACAACCAGTTCTGCCTGGCCCGCTGAAGCTCACCCAAGATTCCAAGTACAGACCCTTCAGGGCCTGTCTGGTTGGCCCAACGGTCCACCAAAAACTGCGCCAACAATTTTCGGAAGTCCACCAGGCACTGGAAAATTGCCTGGGGACCTCAATTTTTTTTTCGAATTCTAAAAATGGGGCCCAACCAGACACCGGATCCGGACACCCAGACCGGACCGTCTGGATCCTGATCCGGACGTCTGGTTCACAACCATACATTTTACCAAATTTGAAACAAAAAACAAATAATAATATAATAAAATGATTAAATTTTATTTTTCATTTTTTTTTGGCTTAGTCAAATGCCCTGAAAATTTACAGATGTGTATCTCAGATGGTTCAAAACTCATAAAAATAAATTAAAAAAATAATAAAATTAATTAGGCCCCGAAATAAAGTGAAAACAAAAAGTGAAAAGAGAAACAAAACAAAATATTGAGTGAGCACGTTTAGACACCACCATCTTTGTCATATTTTTTTTATTTTTATTTTTTTTAATGGGCCGCGCCATGCTCCGCTGCAGTGCAATACGAAGGCAACGTTGGAAGGGTCGAGTAGGCAAGCCTACCCCTATGACCCCTCCGTAGCCCTGAAAAAATAATTTAATATCGTGTGACCAGATGGACCACAGCTGTGTAGCATCGTGTTCGAGTTCAGTGACCGAACCCGAACGTTCGCGACGGAAAGCGAACAAGCGCCAAAACCTCCCGAACGTGAAAATAAAAAATACTTAAAAAAAAAAAAAAAAAAAAAAATCTCAGAAAAATCTGAAAAACAAAATATGTTATGTAAAACAATAAAAAAAAACAACTTTTGCCTTGGGGGTATGATCAAATTCGTAACCAAACTCGAGTTCAAAAATCAAAAACCAAAACACATTTTATTTTATTTTTTTTAATATGTTCGGCCGAAACGTTCGGGGGGCGTTCGACCGAACACCCGAACATGTTCGGATATTCGGAAAAGATCCGAACATGTTCGGTGTGCTACACAGGACCACATATCAGATA